CCATTTTGATCCATGACCTCTACCCTGACCTGTACCTATGACCTTTGCGTTCATTCCGTTATTTCAATTACTGTACATTTTGATAAAATTTATTTTAAGTGTAAAAGTTCTGCATTAAATAGATGTTAATAATACATTTTACCGCTTCAGTCTAGGCCTTGTGGTTAGCAAGCTATTAAAGTTTCCGCCTGGACGTTTTTTTGTGTATGACCCTATATCTAGGCTATTTTAGAAATTGGTATTGTATTTATATTATTTATTTTTAAAACCTTGTACAGTATATTTTTCTGAAATATCATATTTTATTTTATTTTTGTAACTATGCAAAATCTGTTTTATATGTTACCATAGTATAATATTAGAGCGAAGCTGTGCTTAACTCACGTTCCCCGTCAGTTATACCCCTTATATGTATACCACAGTCCCTTACATAAGGTATCGCATTACAGTACAGTGCAGTATGAGCGCATAGTTACCCAGTATGTGAATAGGGATTGTCTGGTATATAAGGCAGAGCCCACACCAAACTCAGGGGACTCTCAGTACTGATCACTGGCTTTGAGCCAGTGGTTGGCGGCTTATGTGGAGAGTATCCCAACTTTGAGACCTATTTTTACTTTTTATGTACTTTTGTTTTATTGTATAAGTGACTCATAATAAAGAGTATTATTTAACCGTCTAAACCCAGAGCTAACTCACAATCATTACCTGTGCGTTCCCGCGCGTGAGTTAAGGAACTCACAGACTTAGTCACGGACTCAAAGTCACGAACAGACGGTAAGTGAAGGGAACGGCGACCCCTCATAGGTAAGGCGTTGGCCCCTAGGTATTGCACTTAGGAATAGTGAGTTACGCTCCAATATTAATCTATCTATGATTTAAAAATAATCTACAATAAAATTTATACACACGTCTAATTAAATCAATGATAATTGTTTTTAAAAATTACTTCTAATTTACTATAATTTGAATGATTTTAACTAACCTGAACAAATTGAAATGTATGTAAACATTTAATTGAAAAATTTAAAATTTTCACCAAGACCACTAATTGTATTAAAAGATTTATGAGTTTACTTAGTAGGGAACATCGAGGCACGAATCTCGATTGAGTGGTTTTAATTGTTATGATTAGATAACCAGTAACACAATTAACATTTTGAATTGACTAAACTTGGCGAACCAAGTAAATTAGCTTGCTAAATTTACGTTTAACTATCTCTGACATCCTCATTTTGTCATTGATATAAGTTTTATGGATTGTACATAAGTTGAATTGTGTAATTGTATGAGACTGCTTTATGCCATTAAACAAAAGATAATTTTAGCAATAATTATCGATATACACTACTTTAATTTGACCAAAGTTGCATGGTAAGTTAACAAAATCATATTTTTATAAAAAATTTTAAATTATGAAATAACCTCTCTCTCTCTCTCTCTCTCAATCACTCACTCACTCACTCATTCTCGTGAGCAAGTTAAGTTTTATTTTATTTATTTATTTGTGCATCGGTACGTTATTTTTAATTTGTTGTCATTTTATGTGTTCATTATTTTTAAATAGGATATACGGTAGTTGCATTTGTAATGCATATTTTTTGGTTTTATAAATTAAACCTTGTTTTAAATCTTGTTTGAAACATTGTACAAACAGGATTGAGACCAACAAACATATTAAAATGCATTTTGTAAATTTTACTTAAATTAGGTAGGCTTGATTTAAATAATTAAATTATATAAACACAAAAAATAGCTAATTTAAATGCAATTGTTATTTGCAAATAATTTTATTTTGCATTAAACATGAAATTAATTAATTTAATTTACTTAATTAAATCAATAACTTTGATTCATTATAGATTTTGTAGCCATGTATTTTGTTTACAATAGACATTCAGTTAGTTTTTGTTGAGCCCCTCATTGACAGCCGTGAGGAGGGGGTGTTTCTTAGTCGTTACGTAACCGTTAAAGTCGTCGTAATTTATGGCCCTAACGGTGACCCCTCCGAAGCCCTCAGTCGTGGCCCAATTGGTCTTAGCCTTAATGGTGGCCTCGACCTCAGCGGTAATCCATAGGTCATCCTTATAAAAGAAAACTGAGCCAGCAACCTTGTCCTCCTCCATGATCAAGCCACCATCTTTCATTTTCAACATCACCTAGTTCACATAAATAATGTTGGTTATATATATTAAATTGAACAATCATTGTTTTTATAATTTATTATTATAAAATATAAATACCTCGTTAAAACCAATTATTCCGGGTAAATTAGTGAATGGTTGAGCAGGGCCCTTATCACTAGCCGGGGAACCGATTTTGTGGTCAGTAGGGTCGGCCAGTTTCCAGGTGTGTCCATAAAACGGGAGTGAGATCTAGTTGTATATTAAAAATAAATTTAAAATACTTAGAAGGAATTTCTCGATACGGAAAGTTGGCCATGCTAGTTTAATTTGTATACACATAAACTTATTCATATCCTTGATAAATATGCATGGTCAAAAAGTGCGAATTCGGGCGATAAAATGGTAATTTTTGCGGTCAAGGAGTTGGCTGACAGGATCATTTTGTAATTGAATACATGAAATATATGTATGACTGCATTATACACATAAGTTTTCCGGAAAGGTTTGCCCCACATTAAGTGCTTATTATACGGTTGAGTGCCGTCTAAACTTTTATTGCCTACCGTCTATACAAATAATGTTAATTTATATAAAAATGATCATGTCAGCCAACTCCTTGACCGCAAAAATGACCATTTTATCGCTCGAATTCGCACTTTTTGACCATGGATATTTATCAAGCATATGATTAAGTTTATGTACATACAAATTAAACTAGCATGGCCAACTTTCCGTATCGAGAAATTCCTTCTTAAAATATTTTCATTGTAAATATTAGCCCGATTTAAATATGCACTCACCAATAGCTTGCTCATATGAGCTTTGTCAATTTGGTCGCCCCATATTGTCATGGATTGTTTCTATATTATAAATGGAATATAAATAAAATATTTGTTAAACATGTTATATAAAATATTAATTCATAATCATTTCTAGATAATTAAATGCTTACGATATCAGTCAATGAGGCACCATGGCCAGTTGGGGTTTGCGGGGGAGTTTCGTGCCAGGGTCCATTATAGTCAAAGGTGTTCACGGAAATAAAGTCCACCTGTCTACATTATATAATATTTAGTAAACAATTTAATATAATGTAATAACTTGTAAACTCCCTTCCCAATAATAATGATGCAATCAACCGTAATTTTTTTAACTAACTTATTAAATAAATTTAATAATTACTTAAATGGATAATAATTAACTAAATACGAAATATTAAAAACTTACTCGATCACTTTGTCAATTTCATAACCAGGGCGCTCGGCGGCCAACACGGAGCCCAACACGTATCCACTGGCCTTGAAGTCCTCCTTGAGGACAGTCACCAATTTGATGTATTTCTCCATATAGTCGACGGACCAGCCGTTAGTGAACTCGAGGACAATGCCATCGAAACTGTATTTCTTAAGGAAAGCCATTGCGTTCTTCGAGAACAGGGAGGGGTTGTCGAGTGCGACCACGATCTCCATGGCGTGCATGAACCCACCGATGGCTACGAGTGACTTGTCGGTGCCTTTCTGTTTAGGCAGCTGATCGAACTGGTCTGCTCTATGGTAACAGGGTCAATTAGAAATTGATAGTTTTTTAAATTATTTATTAAACTTAAAATGATTAGGCGTATTTATGAAAAATATCTATTCGTTGATTTTTAAGTGTAAATTGAATTAATATCTAAGCGTTGAATTAATTATTTATGATTTATGTTATGTATCATAATTGATTTAATGCTCACTGTATTTTGTGACCAAGGTATCATCGAGAATCTTGATATCAGCATTAGTGTCTACACCCACGTAGCCGTAAACTAAATGTGTGCATGCTGTACTGTCTATGAAAGTAATTTTAAATTAATTAGGCGATAATGATACAAACTTTATATGAATGGCTTACCAATATCTTTTATATTCATTGCACCATGGCTATGACTAGGATAGGCAACTATATATATAGAAAATACAAAATGATCCAAATAGTTTTGTCTTAAATATTAAATAATTTCATTTATAATACTTACACCAACTCTCGTAAAAACAAACCACTTTTGGGTCTTTAACACAATGTGTGAGTCCTATACACAGGATTACTGAACACAATATAAGGCTAATATTAACCATGTTTAGTTAATAATATAGTTTGACACTACAAATAAATTAAATATACTTGTATGATAAAAAATATAAGACTATAATGTGTGGACTATTTTTTGAAAATCTTTATATACTATTTTGTAAATATTATATCCGGATTAGAATCGTGGTAAATAATCAATAACAGTTATATGTCTCTATAAAATTACTCTCTGTTATATTTTGTATGAAATATAAGATTTTCTTTATAAAAGTATATCGATTTCATAGAATTAGGAAGGTCATATCAGATATTGATTATACAAGTACATTTTTAAAACTTATAATATTATCGTACTTAATATTGTTGTATTTCACTGGAAAACATAAGTACCTGATAATAATATTCAAATCTATTGTTTAATGTATCATTTATCTGATGTTTATAAAATGTAACCAGGGTGTTGTTTATTGTCTAGTGTGATCTTTCAAAATATAGAAATGTCACTTTCAAATGATTTATTTTAATATAGACTGAGAATTTTAGTATCAGCATTAAAAAAATGTTATTTAAAATTATTCCCATCCAAAAATAACGTACTTGTTAGAAACGTAATTTATGAATTGTATTTTTTCAAAATTATTTTTTGATGAGGAATTGATCTAGGGCATAAATCCAATTTGTGAAAAATTGTGCATGTCAAAAATTTTAATTTTCAAATATCACCGTATTGCCATAAAAGACTCAAGAGTTTCTTTTCATTAACATAAAGTAGCCTACTGAAGCTATTAAAATAACTTTTCATACTCTTGAGTCTTTCATGGCAATACCATTGAATTCAAGTTTCTATTTTTTAAACATCATATTTTATTATTTAACCGTCTAAACCCAGAGCTAACTCACAATCATTACCTGTGCGTTCCCGCGCGTGAGTTAAGGAACTCACAGACTTAGTCACGGACTCAAAGTCACGAACAGACGGTAAGTGAAGGGAATGGCGACCCCTCATAGGTAAGGCGTTGGCCCCTAGGTATTGCACTTAGGAATAGTGAGTTACGCTCCATATGGTGGAGGTGCAAGTGGTAAGAAAACCGTATACCTATTAACAACGCTTGACTGATTGGATGACTCGTAAGTTTTAAAATTTCATAAACTATTTAAAACTTACGTAATGTATGCATAAGTGACGGATTGTATAAATAACTCACGAATTATAAGAGTTATACTTAAAGCCAAGCGAATGTTTTACTCTATTATGCTATAAAATGATTATAAATCTCGAATTTTTGATAGAACTTCTCAATCAAATAGTTAAGGCATGTTTTACACTACTTGACGCGCTTTATAATATTGATATACAGCATTGTATTGATTCATACGTCAAAAAAAACAACAAATCCTTTTAGAAATACTTTGTTAGCTATTATTTTGTATGCATAAAAGAATATTAAATAAAATACTTTCATAAAATATTTTGACAAAAACCAGAGATTGTCACCATTAATCTAACGGAATGCCATTAAGGCATTCACTTTCCCATGAAATCAATAATAAATTGTTGATTTAATTAGAAAAAAGTAAGTTTGAATGGATTTTTAAACCGAAAAGTCATAAAAAGCAATAAAAATTTGTTTTAAATCCCTTTAATGGGAATCGCTTACAGTGCATTTCATGCTTGCAATGCGGCGATACTTTCTATGTACCACAAAATTACGAGCACTTTAGCTGTAAACCGTGAGATCCGATTCCAAGAAGTTAGAGTAGACCCGACTTTTGGGGTAATAAATATAAATGTTAGTGAAAAAAGTGTCAATAGAGTAGCCGATATCAAAATTCACATTAATTAACTGTCAACCAAAGTAATAAAAACTCATAAAATTCTTTAATCTCACGAATCTACTATAAATATGTCGATTCGCTAAACATTTTTGACATTCAATATAATAATTATTATATTTTAATCCCGATTACTTATTATTTTGAAATATTTGAGTTAAATAATCTCGAAAATAATTATAAGTAACGTATAAGCTATAAAATGCCAAGAACGAGAGCCACTACAGTGAGCCGTGAGTTACCCACGGATACAATTACTGAGGAATTAGAGGATATCGTGGAGACCTTCAATACTATATTCAATGAGGCGACACCCGTGAGTCA